AAAGCCCCCCCGCAGCCCCCTCCCCACAATAAAGCTGCTCCCGCAAAGCCCCCGGGGTTGGGTTGGTTTGGGGTGAGGCAGAGCTGGAGAAGGGGTGGCCGTGGCTTTATTGGGGTGCAGGGGGGGTTTTATGGGGGGGGGGATACAGTGGGGACCCCCCCCCAATTTCAGCAGGGTCCCTCAGGGAGCTGCCCCCCCCACCAGCAGCTCCAGCCACCGGGTCAGAGTTGGGGGGTCTGGGGGTGCCTGTGGAGGAAAAGGGGGGTTTGGGGGGGTGGGGTCACTCCCAGGACCCCCCAGTGTGCCCCCTCGAGAGCCCCCCCAAACCCACCAAGGACCCCAAAACCGTCCCTGGGATGCCCAAGCGCCTCTGGGACCCCCCAAGTGCCCCCAGACCCACCCAGGGACCCCAAAATCACCCGCAGGCACCTCCCCATTGCTTTTGGGACCCCACACAAATTGCCCTCAGACCCCTCCCAGGACCCCAAAACCACCCCAGGATCTCCCAGCGGCCCCGGGACCCCCAAAATCGCCCTCAGCCACCCCCAGGACCCCCAACCCCACCCCCAGGGACCCTCAAATCACCCCCAGATCCCCAAACCCGCCCCACAGACCCCCCCAGTCCCCTCTGAGGAGGCCCCAAACCCCCCCAAAGGACTCACGGGGATGGGGGGGCCCCCCTTGTGGGGGGGCAGCAGCCGCACCCCCCCGCTCTGGGGGTACCCCGGCTCCAGCTCCAGCGTCCAGAGGGTCTGGGAGCCCTGGGGACCCCCCAGCACCTGCAGGAGCCCCAGCTCCGGCTGCCAGTCCAGGGCAAACCTGGGGGGGCACCGGGGTGAGCCCCCCGATTATCCCCCACCCTGCCAGTTACCCCAAAGCCCCCCAGGACTCCCCCAAAGCCCCCCCAGCCTGTCCTGCGGCCCCCCCAGTGAACCTCCCAAATGCCCCCAACCCCTCCCAGCTGCCCCCAGGACCCCCCAGGACCCCCCAGTTACCCCCCCAGGACCCCCCAGCTGCCCCCCCAGCGCCCCTCACCTGTTCCTCAGGTGCGTCACCTCTGCCCAGAGGCTCCAGCCCCCCCAGCAGCGCTGCTGCAGCTCCAGCAGCCCCGGCCCCAGGGGAGGGGGCAGCCCCAGGGGGGGTCCCTGTGGGGGAAAAGGGGGAGGTGCTGAGACCCCAAAACCACCCAGCCCCCCCCCCCCCCCCCCCCCACCACCCCCCACCACC